GCCAGGAGTGACCAGGAACAACGGTCACAAGCTAGCAGAGGGTAGATTTAGGTTAGACATCAGAAGGCGCTGTTTCACGGTCAGGGCAGCTAGGCTCTGAAACCAACTTCCAAGGGAGCTGGTGCAGGCTCCTACCCTGGGGGTTTTTAAGAAGAGATTAGATGAACACCTTGCTGGGGTCGTTTGACCCTGGTACTCTTTCCTGCCATGGCAGGGGGTCGGACTAGATGATCTTCTCAGGTCCCTTCTGACCCTAGAAACTATGAATTAGGTCATGTAAATAGTATTAAGGAGTTCTGGTGCTTAGATTAACCAAATGAATCTTGCTGTTGTGTTTTGTCATCGCCAGAACTTGCCAGTGGTGTCACATAATTCATTTACCTCTTGGGCGCTCTGCATTTTGTGCAGGCAGTATGGCCACTGCATATATGCCTCAGAATTAGACTTATAAGTGTGCAAATATTACATTTTGGGTTTGGTGTTTAAATTAACTATCATAAAATTTTGAGATGATCAGGCTAAATTCATACGGCGTGAGTTCCTCTTTAAAATTGTATGTGGAATACATATTTTGTTTTTGGTAGGCAAGAGCGACTCCTGCTGAGAAATTAATTTTCTTTGGCGAGCCAGTCATATTTGTAACTAAGTTTTGAAATACTCTGGAAAAGCTTTCCAAAATACATGTTAGCCCTTATAAACCAGCTGCGTATAGTCTGGTATCTTGTGATTTATGGTTTTCTAGAGTTGTTGCCAATACTGTGCTCTAGATTAATCACTTTCCTTTTTTGTCTCTTAATGTTTTTAACCAGGACCAAGAGATCTCATGTTCCTCTGACTGAATGCATATTTGAGCTTCCTAATCTGACTGTTCAAGCAACAAGAGCTCAGACCCTTCTGCTTCAAACTATTTATCAGAGTTGGTTTCATCATCTTGGGAATGTCAGTTCTACAGCAGTAAATGAGACTTTGCTGAATGAAGTCTTCCAAACTTTAGGTAAAGGCATAGTATGTTTGACAAGTATAGTAGATTAATACCTATTATGTAGAGCACTGCATGGAGCAAGTAAATGCATATACAGTGATACAATATTAAATCCAAGCTTTTAGCATGCAATATTTAACTGGCAGAATGCTTTTGTGTCCATATGGGTATTTATAGCTTATGCTTAAAATCCAGGATGTAAGTTAAGCCACCAAACTTCATTCTCTGGCAACAATTTCTGGATGCATTTAATTTTCCCATACAGGATAATTTTTCCATGCTTCCTTCATCATTTGCAACATCTAGCCTTGCTACCTTATACTGTGCAATGCAGTAATTTAAGATCATTCAAAGGTGAAGCTGTTGAATGAAATACAAATCACTAGGTTTAAGGGCTTTATTTATTACTGACATTTTATTGCATGGAGATGAGAATTTTTTATTTGTTTATTTATTTTTGTAGAAAGGGCTGCAAATGGTCTTCATCGTAGCCAGTTTTACTGGTATCTCTTTCTTCATTGTTTGAGGTAGTTAAAATAATGCAAATCTAAGAGGTGGAAGAAATAAAGGAGATAACCATGTAGATTCATAATACAAAACATGGACGTTTTTAGAAAAAAAGTTGGCTGTGCAAATTAAGGATTTATTCATCAAAGCCCTCTATCACATACCTGTATAAATCCTGCACAGCTTTGTGTTCTTAAAATTAAAGTTTAAGTGTTTTGCTGAATTTGGCTGTCAAGCCAAGGACGATTTAGGGTAGCTTGCTTTCATTTAATAAATCTCTGTGATCTTGGCAACACTTACCTGTTATGCCCCAAGAAGGGTAGCAGTTCAGTTTAAGATTATAATTCAAATCCATGAAGTGTTTTTTTTTTTCAAGACTTTATGTCCATCCAGCATCAGAGGATTTAGGCAGTAGCTAATGGGACTCCAAAAAGAGAGTACATGGTCTGTCTTTAAAACTAGAGTTTGATGAGGCATTTGTCTCAGTCTGCTGATGGTCCTCTTCATACCTTTTGCAAAGCATGAAATCCAATATGCCGTTTGCCTGGCCTTTTATTCAGAATATAATTTATTTTAGCTTGACTGTATTTCTGCTTCTAGGACAGTGGTTTGTTCAAGGCCATTACGATTTCAAAAGATAGGTTTGTTTAGCTCAGGGATTTTCAAACTTTTTAGACTTGAAGCGCCCCTGAGTAGACTTCAGGCACCACTTGAAAAATACCCGTTCTTAGTGTTCACACTTATTTTGAGTACCAAAAAATAATAGAGCAGTTTATCTGCTACAAAGAACCACAGAGACCACAACTATATATTTCTGTTTGGAATATCTCTATCCAGAGATTTATCTTGTAAATTATATCTGCAAACCTAACAGTGTGGGGTACCTCATGGTACCTGTGAAAGGGTCTCAGGCCACCCTAGATGCCGTAACACCTGCTTTAGAATCACAGGTCTAGCTGATAGACCTGTTTTGTGAGTGTTTGGCTGAAGAGTAAGTTCATAGAACTGCGAAGCAGTTCTTAAATCAGACATTTTGACCCAACTGGTAGGAAAAGAAACTTATTGCTGTATATTAGATTGTATGTTTATTATGATCATAATTTATTCTTATTAAGACTATAACCAGTGCCTTTTTTACTCTGTATAACTTTGAGTTATTCATGGAACTGTGCTCCAGATTCATGTTCATTTTTAAAATAGATGTTCTAGTCCAAATTGTTGAAATGAATAAACATCTCACAATGGAAAACTGCATGTAGACTACTGTAGTGGCCTTCCTGAGTCTGCAGAAGGCCTGAAATGATAATTCTGAGAGAGATCAATTGTCCCATTAATCTAAAACTGGGCCTTGTGGAATGTGTGAATCCAGTCACACAATTTGGCATGCTACAGAATTTAACAGTTTTACAGTGGATGGTAGTTGTTTGTTCTTTGTTTCCATCTCTTCTAAAGATCTGCCTGCACTTGCCTCTTGTTTGTCAGCATTTCCCACAAAGGAAATATATAAGGGTAATGCATGCTTTTTGTGTTGTTTCATGTAGCCAGAGCTGGAGTTCAACACATTGCCAGAGGGCAGGGAGACCAAGAAGTTTTAGGCCTGACACTCTTTTTAATTCAGTGTCAAAGTTTCTTAAGCATATGATAACAGAAATACAGCAAGTGATACCTATCCCTTTAAAAGAAATGTGTTTGGTTAAATGTCAAAATCAAAATGTCCTTTAAATCAAATAGGTACCCTCCAGAAAGTGGAAGTCCAACCCAAGAGTAGCCAGTTGCAATTAGTATAAATTCTAAGATAAAATGTCAGTAGAAAATTCAGGGAACTTGGGAATTTGAAGAGCATAAATAACAAAGGGCTATGAAAAATTAACTTTATGGAAAACCAGAGAAAAGAAAAAGGTCTAGTTTTCTCCCTAGGAGTAAAGGAAATGGTTGAAGATAAGTACATTGCAGAGAAGTTAGATTTATTGCTTTGTATTAATTTGCAGTAGAGAATATTTGGAATAGATTTTATCAGGGTGGAGAAAACTATCCCAGAGGGAAACATATTATATGTTAAATGAAATACCAAGAATATGCAATAGATTTTGTAAGCAAAATTCAGTAAGTAGAAAAAATGAAGAAATCAAAATTCTGCTAGCAAAATAAAAAACGCACAATTAATAGAGCCCCCAGAGTACTAATTACTTAAGCCTGTCAGTCTTTAGAATCTGTCTTTCAATATTGATTTGATTGGACCAATTGATTTGCTTTTTCAGCAGCTAGCTTACTACAAAGTTTAATCCAAACTAATCAGACTTTGTTCAATAATTTGTTTGAATTATTTTGAGTAGGCAGATCACTATTTCAGATCATCTGCAACTTGGCATGCTTCTAAATTAAATTGTCCCATTTTCTCCCATGTTAATTGTATAATTTTCCAGTCTTCCATAGTAACCAACTGTGATTAAAGTATTGATTTGCAGTAGAACTCTGAAACACATTCTAAATATGTAAAGCGAAGTAAAGCAGTAAATAGTACCATATTTACTTCAATATAAAATGGCCCTGAATATAAGATGATCCCAAACAATTAGATTTTATATATGGGAAAAAGTATAAATTTGTTATAATTTTTCAGGTTTAGAATCTAATTATTAGTGTTATGCCTTAAATTTGTCCCCTTCCCACTGCTACAGCAGTGAAAATAAATCCAGGGAGTAAGTGGTCCCCTTGCCCTTTGCCCATCCAACTTCTTCCCCCTCTTCACTGTCAGAACCTGCTCTTCCAAGAGCGCATAGAAGTCAGGAGCAAATTTGAAAATGCTGACTGTAAAATTAAACATATCTGTAGTAATTTGCATATAGTACCCATAGACATAGTTCATCCAGAATTGATGCAATTTACCTTTTTTGAAACTGCTGCAGGTTTTAGCACAGGTACTCCATATACACACTTCTAAGCAGCACTTTGGCACCTCCTTATGTATAACGCACACTATGCATTATATTAGTCCAAACCAAAAGGCTCATAATTTACCATAGAGTTCCTTGGGCCGGGCCCCACCAGAGTCAACAGGATTTGAAGCCATTGTGACTGCACAGCTTAACACTGCTTAGTATGTGTGCATACTCCAGATAACCCCTTCCAAAAATCCCCGTGGACTAATTTGCCTTTTACTTACAACTGGAACTAAGTGTTCTTGTCACAAGTCCCAAGGATACTTCAAAGATTTACAGGCAGATAAGGCACAGGTCAACCGTGACCAGCTTCACCTCATGGCAAGTGCAGCCACACTAATCATATGTTGCAGGCTGAGATAGGTGGCAGCAGAGGGATTTGGGGTGAACTGTTTGGGTCCCTGTTTGGTGATGTTTGCTAGACATTTAAGGCCTGTAAAGAAACAGGAATAATTGGAAATGGGAAAGAAAGGTGCAGCTCAGCTGTGTGAGTGAAGAAGAAATAAAAATGTATACAATGTAGTGGCTCACCATGACTTAGAAAAGGGTTGGTTCTGAGGGGGACAATGCTTAATGGGGCAGTAAGATGTATCTTATTAAGATGGCTTGCACTAACCTATCCTTGTGGTAGGTTCCCATCAGCATGTTTTCCAGTATGGGCCATGTATTGTGTAGTCATGCTTAGTGTTGGTTGGACTTAATCAACTTCATACTTGCTTTCTATTGCTGAGTACAAGCTGCTTGTGGCAGCAGTTTAATGATACTGTATTTAATGAGGTTTCTTTGTGTGTGCGTGTGTGTGTGCATGCAACACGAGGGCCTTTTTTCCACATGTTGATTGGAGGAAAAATACTGTGTTTGAAATTCAAGTAAATATAGTGTGTATTTTATGTTTCAGTCTCATCTTCCTTTTCTGAGCTCAACATCTGTCTTGATTTTGGATCTTTCATGTTAGTTAAGTAATAGAAAGGTGGAAGGCTCAATTTTTGATTTACTTGTTTTGTCAGTGCGTAATGGTATAAAATACATATTTTGCATCAAGTCTGCCTTATGCTCAGCACCAATATCGGCATATTTTAATAGTAGGATGAAATACGGAAAATTTTGCCTTACTTGTATGGGGAAGTTGGATCCTCAGATCCTTTTCAGACAGCCAACTGGGCAGCTGATGGTAAAGAAAAAACTTTAAAATTTCTTATTCTAGTTTAGAAATGTTAGATAAGACACTTCAGTCTTTTCTTTAAATTCCACATTTTTTACTACCTGGAAAATATAGTTTTTAGTTTAACGAGAAATTTGTCCCTGTCTTAACAGCTCATTACTTTGATGATATAATCACCATTCGGTCTTTGCCACATTCTGTGTGTTTGAAGGTGAAGTTACTAAATTAATTGTATATAAAAGACTGGCTTAAAGCCATGGAATGTGATCTTAAATTATCATCACAGATCAATTTTTGACTCTGGAAATTGCCTAATGAAGGATTTTTTTGTCATCTTTTTCCATGTTTTTTGCTCTGTCACATCAAAAAACAAGCATTTATCAGTGTCATAGTTTAGCTTGAAA